ACAAGTTATGGTATTGTATTTATATTAAAAATTTTTTTAATAATATTTAAATAACAATTACATACTTGCTTAAAACAAATTTCTAAGTTAAGAACTGATTGTACACAATCATATGCAGATGACCATCGTGAACAAACTGAACTTTTTAATCCTCCTTTATTTATCATCGAGTTAACTATTTCATTACGCAGAATTGCTCCAGCACGATGTGATGCGTGAAAATACGTTACAAAAGATTGACATTGCTGTAATACTTTTTTTCCAAATGAGGTTTTACAAATTATATCACTGCAAATTAGCTGAATATGGTGCGCAATACACCGAATTGGTAATATTCCAGGATATTTATCTGAAATATATTGTTTTGCAAGTGACATCGCTGAAGCTCCATCAGTTACAACAGCACCGAACTTATCAACACCAATATCTACTAAAACTTTTTCGATTTCATCAGCTGTAAATATCGCGGTATGAGATTTATGAGAATAATCTTTAATTGAGTATACATATTGCTTTTTATTAGATGTTATAATTATAAAGGCGAAATAGGAATATCCACGATTACTTGTCCAACTATCCAAGGCTAATAATATATAATATTAAATTAATACTATGTCAAAATAAATAATAATAAATAATTTAATTTAATAAATAATACCTAAGGTAAGATTCTTTTCTTTTTGAAGTTCTTTTTCGATTGCAACTGTAATGCGTGCAGTTTCATAATTAAGCCAATTATTACTTAAGGCTTTTCGGTCAGGTGGCTTATATGAAACACATAAATTTTGACAAAAGTCAAGAAAAAAAGGACTTTCAATGATCCAAAAAGGAATTCCACAACAGACAAAAAATCGGGTTAGTGCTTTATGACATAATTGTTCTTGTCCAGGATCCATTACACTAATGCTTTGAAATTTATTATCAATTCGTGGTTGCGAACCACTAACAATATCATGTACAATTTTTTTTCTTTTATTTGGTGCTGGAAAGTTTCGTAAACAATCTTGTCTAATATTAAGTGGTACGCTTTGACAAGTCAAAGCTAAATGTGTGTTCATATTCATATCTGATGCACGTGAATTTTCATCATTACAATAGTTACATTTCCAACCTCTGTGACCACCTTCTTGACGATTAATTTCTGTAAAATGATCATTCCAAAGTAGGTTTTTAGGTCGCCCTCTTTTATTATTTTTATTAGCATGAGTAGGTTGATTTGATTGTTCAGATTCTAATGGTGAATTAGGACCCGAATCCTCCATAATTTAGATCATAAACGAAAAAATTATCGTTATAAGAATATTACCATTACATACAAGATATTTATACTATTGGCATTACGATCATACATAGATATTTTTATTAATATATATGATAGAGAAAGAATCGGCTCTGTAAAACAGGTTTGTTATAAACAAAGTAAGTTAATAACTTGTAAGGAACTTAAAATTCAGGTTAAATAATTGATCTATCACTATAATTATTATTTTAATTCTGTTAACATTAATTAAATACGTATTTAATTAAATTCTAACATTAATTAAAGATACGATAGAAACTTTTATGATTTATGCCGTAACCAGTTTCGATATACTCTTTAGTTAGTGCTTAAGCCACAATAATTTCTACTGCAGATATTTAATGCCAAATTGGTAAAAAACTACTTGCCATTCAAGTTGCAGTACATGTATATGTACGTACGTATATATTAGGTAATAACTTTATTTATGCTAAGAACGAATTAAATTTTAGTAAAGTGTACATTTAATACCAAATTTAGTTAGCATTCAAGTTATGGAATATATCAAGTAACAACTTTATTTTTAAGAATATGCTAAGAACGAATTAAAATCGATCATTTTAGCAAAAATCGTACGATACATTTAACATTAATACCAAATGATTTGGGAATCAAGTTATGGTATATATCAAATAACATCCTTATTTTTAAGAAATATGCTAAGAACGAATTAAAATCGATCATTTTAGGCAACAGGTTTCTATCAAGACTTTTAAAAAATATAATTTAAAGAATTCTTAATCTTCTTGAAAACAATTCTTCGTGTTGATGTTAAATACAAGTTTTTAGTAACATAAGACAATACTGTAATAAAGTAATTACGAATAAGTGAAGTAATAAACTTGGCTTTTGGGGATCATACCTCTGCTATGTTATATAGATGCACTCTTAAATATAATATAATATCGGCAGTCTATAATAATATCGGCAGTCTATAATAATATCG